CTTTAGGTCTGTTATACATATAAATGTAGGGTCTCCAGGTAAGTATTATACCCTTCTCTCCATCTCGGTCTTGTTTTCTTTCTTTTTACGTCTGTCACTTTAGTGGTTTGCCTAATCCGTTCTCTGTAGTAAAGCTGAACAAATTAGGCAAAGAAAACAAAGTCCTCCTACCGTCGGTGCCAGCACTGCTAGCCCACCAAAGGATAGAAAGTAATGAAAAAGCAAACAATCTAGCTAGAAAAGGAGCGAACACCCTACTAACTGGACCAAAACCGTTCTGTTTCCCAAGTGGAAACCAACTTAAAGCGGAACTCAAGAACCTAGAATGGGAATTCTCCAACGGTCTAAGACACTCGAATAAATTTCCTAGGATTTCCGATCGAGAAAAATTAAAATTAACTTAATTGAAACAAGAACAATCTTCGGATAATCACGGGGTTTTTAACAGGACAGTGTCCCTTCAAAGAACGCCTCAGTAGATTGAACCTAAGAGACAACGGCGAATGAAGATTTTGTGGTGAAAATGGAAAAACACCAGATGTGATGGAAAACTAACCTCTTAAAAACGATAAAATCATCTCAGATACTGGCTTTTACCAAAGCCCTGAGACTGTATAATGAATTCTAATTAAAAAAAGGGAGACATAATAAATTTATATAAGGTCGCAGTTAATCCCCCCCCCCTTTCCATATTCATTATATTCCATATAATCTCCATCTACAATCTGTTCGCTGATTTTATGGTGTCAAAGATATTCCCAACATAGGTACACCTTTCCAACGCTCCTTGCGTGATTCTGTTTTGTTTAAATATTTATGAGTTAAGGTGGATTCTCAGTATACCTTCCATATCAGCTCCCTTCCGTTTCCCTTCCGTTTAAATAAATTAGTATATCATGAAAATGAATAGGACAATGCACACTATCCGTTCCGTTTCCCTTCCGTTCCATATCCTTTCCTTCCATACATTTTTTTGGCGGATGGACTGAAGCGTTGTCAAGTTCTTACTTTTGTACCAGCTACTTACATTTGTACCAGCTCTGTTAACATTTTGCTGATATTTATTTATTCATTCATCTCTTAAAATCTCTTTAAATAGATTACCTTTTTCAAAAGATACAAATTTTTAAAATAAAACTTTCGTAATGACATAAATTGTACAATAAAAAGTACGGAACTGATACGGAAAGGAAGCTTACGTACAACGTCAATATAATAAAAAATACGGAACGGATATGGAATGGAAACGGAAGGTATAGTGAGAATCAATCTTTATTATCACATTTCCCATATGTCAAATACCTTTCTTTTGTGATGCATTGCGATGTTTTTATTTTATATTTTAACTTCCGTAAATTATGTTTTTTTTTATTAATTTCTAATATTTTTATCAACATTTTTCTTATTTCCTTTATTCCATTTCCTCTGCTAATAATGGTAATTATTTTTGGTTAGAAATTTAATTGTTTTTTCTTTTTTTTAAGATTTAAAAGTAAAAAATTGCCTTTTTTTGGTCCTGGTCCCCTACTTTCGATTTTATAAACTAATTACCGTCTAACGGAAATATTGATCAATAAGCCCAATATGGACTGGAGTAGTGAAGTTATATTATTTTAAGTTACTGGCAACGCCGTTGCGATGCGATTTTGCTTAATTTATTTCAAAATGAGTAACCGAGGAGGGAATCTATGAGCACTGAATCGGGCGCGTAGTACGGCCATGGCACCGTTCCACGCAAAATAACTCTTGTTTTATTTGCGGTACGTGTTGCATTCACCTTGTCATCAGACGAAATGCCAACTATGTGACATGTTTTAATCATATAGGGCGACAAAGACTAGAGAGTGACTTCAAAATCAGAATACCATAAGGTGAAGAAGAGATGAATTGCATAAAACGCGGTTTATGATTATTTCTTATAGCAATACCACAGCCCATTCATAACAAGCCTACGATCTTAACTACGATTTGTATGGAACTTTGGGTACCTACTTAGATATTCGCTTATCTTATATTATACTACCTTCCGTATCCGCTACTTTCCGTCTCCTTTCCGTTTACGTAAAATATTATATCATGTAAATACTCGTAAATAGGAAAACGCACACTATCGTTCCGTTTCCGAAGCGTTTCCGTACCGTTTCTATGGTTACGTTTAATAGGGTGAATATATTCTATTCACTGCCTCTATTCAATTTCCTATATACTTCCGTTCCATATCCGTTCAGTATACGTATGTTAGTAACGCAAGTTAGTAACGTTCTGTATACATCCGACGTACAAAGTTTTATTCTCTCACTAAACCTTCCATCCATTCCATATCCATGCTTTTCCGTATTTTTTATTTAGGACGCTATACGTAAGCTTCCGTTCCATACTTTTTATTGTACGATTTATTATATTACAAAAGTTTTATTTTAAAAATTTGAATCTCTTGAAAAAGGTAATAGATTTAATTAAGAGTTAAAAGAATAAATAAATATCAGCAAACTTTTAACAGAGCTGGTACAAATGTAAGAACATGACAACACTGTTTCCCATACGCTTCAGTCCGTCCGCCAAAAAAACATATGGCAGGAAAGGATATGGAACGGAAGGGAAACGGAACGGATAGTGTGCATTGTCCTATCCATTTACATTCATACAATATTTTATGTAAACGGAAGGGAGCTGATACGGAAGGTATAGTAAGAATCAACCTTAATTTGACTCTATTCACAGTTCCTATACACTTCCGTTCCATATCCGTAACCACAGAAACGGTACGTAAACAGAACGGATAGTGTGCATTGTCCTGCTGATTTACAGGATATAATATTTTACGTAAACGGAAAGGAAACGGAAATTAGCGGATACGAAACGTATAATGAGAATCAAGCTTTATACGTCCAATGTCTTTTGTCAAATGAAAAATATTTTGTGTTTTCGGCCCATTCTGTGCTTTTGTATTGTCATTTTTCAGTGCCAAGCATTTATTTACTGAATCTTCTTTGAAATTTCTTGAATCTTACCCTTTATGACCACAACTGACCATAACTTTGTTCCATTACAAAACTTGGTTAAAATAGAATACATATTGAAGAATTAAATATTTTTTTAAGATAAAATACTTCATATCTAAATCAGGATAATTTTAATCATGGATTTAAATTAAAAATTAAATAATTAAATAAAAAAATCAACCTGTTTAAAAACCTATAATAACTCGAAAAATACCTGTAAAAGTTATAAAAAAATTTCTATAAAGCTATAAAAAGCTATTCCTATAACAATTATATCCTAATTTACCAAATAAAGAGTTAAACTTACTCTTGTAGCGTTTAAATACTTTTAATAAATGGAAAAATAATTGTAAAAGATATAACACATCTACCTACTTAATATCTATTCATCTATTAAAAGTTGGACCGATTTTTGAAGTAATTTCTTGTGAATCCATTAAACTTTTAAACGGCAGATATTCAGGGTTGTTCACCACATACGACACGGAGTATTGTAGCTAAACGATTAGATTTTTACAAATTGCAAGTTTTGGGTTCGTTGAAGGACTATTAGAGCTACAATTTAAAAATATTTTTACAAGATACAGAGTGTCCCAAATAAATAAAAAATATCAAACTTGTATTTTTTTAAATGGAACACCCTGTATATTATTACATTTTTAGTTTCTACGATTAAAATAACGGTAAATTTGATTAAGATTTATTATACTTAAACCTTACCGTTTTTGAAATATTTTCAATTTTGTGAAATTGCAGTAAAAATTTTAAGGCTTCATTTCTCCAAGGGTATAACTTGAAGGGATAGGTAAAAAGTGGTATAATACAATTTGATAGACAATTAAATTATGCATCTGATTCTCCTAAAATATACAGGGCGTTCTATTTAAATTAAACAAGTTATTGCCGTTTAAAGCTAGTAATTATTTAAAAAAAAAATTTAGACACTCTGTATAAGGTAGTATAATGTTTATTATTGCAACACAATAACTGATCAATAACTAAACTTCAGTAAATATTTAGTATTAAAAACTTTAATACCCTTGGAGAAATGAAGCCTAAAAATTTTTACTGCAATTTCACAAAATTGAAAATATTTCAAAAACGGTAAGGTTTAAGTGTGATAAACCTTAATAAAATTTACCTTTATTTCAATCGTAGAATCTAAAAATGTAATAATATATAGGGTGTTCCATTTAAAAAAATACAACTATAGCATTTTTTACTTATTTGGGACACTCTGTATCTTGTAAAATTATTTCTAAATTGTAGCTCTAATAGTCCTTCAACGAACCCAAAACTTAAAATTTGTAAAAATCTAATCGTTTAGCTATAATACTCCGTGTCGTATGTGGTGAACAACCCTGTTTATTTCGAAATGAAGAACTGATGGAAATCCGGTATTCGAATACATTTCATTCGCAAACTCTAGTGCAGAACTAGTTTCTTCTGATGTTAGGTTATATTCTTATTCCAGAGTATCTATAATCAATGTCAAAAAATATGCTGGTATCAAGCCTGTTTTATATCCTTTTTGAAACAACTATATGTTGATGAAGATAACTTCTGCCTTCTCCAATTTATCCTTTAGTTCTTTTCAAATCATCATTTCATCATCAAAGTTTACAGAATGAAAATAAAATGTCGGTGACCGATGTGCAAAAACAACACGCGGCGTAGCAATGTTAATATTTATCGACATTGGGCAGAGTTGCGAAGATTTTGCCATTTAGGAAAGAACTTTAATGGAAGACGAGTCGTTAATTAGTTGGAAATCCAATTTAAATAGAAAATTGATTAAAACAAAAAAAAAGCCGAATAAAATAAAAAAAATATCGTTTTTTTTTAAAAATCATGATTTTTTTGCACCCTTATCCAAATACTGATCATCATAAAATGGATATAATACCATGAAATTGATATAATATTATTTACCATCTGCTCTTCCAATCATTCAGTACATATTATTAAGCTATCATTAAATTATCATTATTTACTTACCAAACACCTTCAAATTGATGGTATGACTGTGCATGACAGTGTCGTTTCGCAGAACGCAGGTGTAGTTACCCTCGTCATCTGGTCGAATAGCATACGTGTATATCGTTTGGTTTGCATTTTCGGGGTAAATAATCATCCTGGATAAATCCAATTCCCAAGGGTATATTTTTCCATCTTTGTACCTATAACAAAAAAATATCATTAGTATTGGCACACAAAGAAACTACAGTTTAATTAATTGGTTCATAAAAAGTCTACTTCTGAAGTATTCAGTAAGTATTGATTTTGGGTATATGCTGATCTGTTTAGTAGAGATGAAGTGAATTTTATAGTGGGATTAATACTAATAATGTGCGAAAGATGCCTCCATCTTGTCCGGATCGGGGCTATTTGTACTTAAACCAAGGTATTTTTGTTACCATTTTGTAAACAACTTGTTTTTAAAAATACAGTGACAGTTTCAAAAATTAGGTTACAGATACTGATTTGTTAGTTTTATTACTGCATTATCGGACAAAAAATTCTATTTTTATGCTTCGGCCTGGAAAATCGTCCAAACCTCACAGAGTAACTGACATCGGTAATATGCAGAACAAGATTGGTGACATGAAGCATTCACTCTTATTGGCACATGCTATATGAGGATGTGATACAACCTCATGCTTGTTTAAAAAAGGTAAACTGGCGACTCTCAAAACGTTACAAAAAGATCCTCATCTGCGACAAATTACATTCATTTTTTTTACCATCCATTCCAAGCAAAAGATTTAGATCAGTTGAGGTATTATAAATATAAAACCCTTACATCTCGTCAGGTACTTAAAATTTTGATTTAGCTACCTTACCTCCAACAACTAACGCAGCTGAAAATTATTATTACATATCATTTACAAATGCAGTATTGGCTAAATAACGGAAAAGAGGCAACAGAATGGGGATGGACTAAAAAAACGGATACCTTAGTTCCAAAATCAACGTCAAACGCAGTGGCAATAGAATTTGTATTGAAAATTATTTACTGTAATTACAAATCTGGATGTAATAAACTATGTACATGTTTAAAATCCAATATGCCCTGTTCAAGCTTGTGTGGTAACTGTAATGGTATTTCTTGCGACAACCAACAAATCTCGGTCGATGAAGAACAAATCGAAGAAAATTGTAAACTTCATTTTTTTTTTCTAGAGATGACAGTTTGAAAAGTTAGGTTACAAGTAACGCATTTTTATTAAAATGGTCATAATTTGAAATATTGTTATTCGATTTGTAGGGGTATGTTTATAATGTATTTATCATAATGAAAAAGGGTTAAGATCGTAGATGATATTTATGTCAAAAAGACATTCGCAAGTACTTTACATTTTATTTTTTTCTTCCAACCTGTAGCTTAATTTTTCAAACTGTCACTGTATGTATTTTTAAAAACAAGTAGTTTACAAAATGGTAACAAGGAGACCTTAGTTTAAGTGCTTTTGTACATTATTAGTACACATGTATTTAGTAAAGAATAGCTTTTACAATTTTTGTTAATTTTGAAATATTATTAAACCACCAATAAATATTTCTTGAAAATGTCACAAGGATTGTATTTTAGTTGAATTAATGCTAAATATCCATGTTATTTGTTAATAAGCTTAAAAATTTAGTAATTTGCATTTCGGTGATTCCTTTTAAAAATTGCTCGACTTTCAAAAAAATGTTGTACGTCACTGTGTTAGGATAATAAACAATTTTTTATTGATTCTGATAGAGTTTTTTATTCTCTTTAATTTTTATCTCTTGGAGTTTTTCGCTATAACGCACGGTTTTCGAGTTATTAATATTTTTTTCCCAAAAAGTACCAAAATTCAAGATGGCGGCCGATTTTTTTTGATGACGCACACACCGGACAAATGGGGACTTTTAGTATGTTAATAAGGGTTACTAATGCTAACTATTTTCAATGGTCGCAGCTTTCTAAAAATTTTTGCAAATTCAAAATTATTTGCACTGGCCTATACCTTGAAAATTCGAAAACTGACACAACCGTCAATGACGTCTGCGCCTTCATGCGTTCGGGCCGAGCTGTAGCAGGCCAGAATAATTCGCAAAGGCAGAAATTAATATAAAGTGTAATATTTTTTATAACACCTAGTGGCAATATTTGAAAGTACCTATTACATGTTATTACATACGTCTAGATGTAATTGATAGTCTATGAATAAAGATAGTCGTTTGACGGAGTTCAACTGATCCGTGTGTTATTTTATTGCTCTCTTAAGTCGGTCCCACGCGACACGGCGAACACCTTCTACCGTTGGATACACGGATATCGTGTGGGCGCCCAGAGACGAAATACATCCGTCCAACGTAATGCATGCCGCTTTCGGGTAGGGATGTTCGGTCCTAAAATTTCAGTACCGGTATTCGGTACCACGAAGTACCGGTCCAACTTCCAACAATTAGATCGGTGGGACCGATACTAAACCAGTATAACTCTTGAACCGGAATACCGGATGTACCGAAATATTGGAGAGACCGAAAAAACATTTTTAGTTGTTGTGCCATCAGTGAGCATATACCGCATGATACCATTTTAAAAAATATAAATGTATCAGACAATTGTTACAGAAGGTTTATTTACGTTCTTGCCCTCGTAGCCTTCGAGAAGTCAAGACTTTTTAATACGTGTATGTTGAACATCATCACCTTGATCACAGTAGATACATGATGCACTATCAACCCTACGACGATCGTTTAAATATTTTCTAAAACATACATGGCCAGACAATGTTTGACTCATGAAGTAATCGACTTTCTCCATATTGTCTGTTTAACCATAGTTGTATGTCGGGTATTAACATGTATGTGCATCTGCCATATATTCCGTTATTCCATTTCTCTTGCCACTGTTGGAGAAGTTTTGTACTTGCTATATTTTTAACCATCCCATGGTATCTATTATATCGTTCCTGTATGAGCAGATCAATAGACCCTATTTCAGCTCTAACTCTTATGGTTAATAGACATAATGCGTTGTATTCTGCGTAGTCTTTGCATTAGCTTGCGATTGTTAGTGACTTTATGCCAGCATACAACAGCTGCGAAAGTACCACACCAAGTACTCTCTTTTGGATACTTTAGCACCTCCTACATTTGGCATGTTGTAACAGGTTAAAAAACAACGTAGCTAAAACAACTGATGCGTTATTCTCCAACCCGTTGCGAGCCTCCATCGACAATCGACCGATGCAGCAGCGTTCCTTTCCCACTCCGATTATCTCGATCGCCGCTCTGTTATGCTCGTAACAGGTTAAAAAACAACGTTGCTAAAACAACTGATGCCTTATTCTCCAACCTGTTTCGAACCTCCATCGACAATCGACCGATGCAGCAGCGTTACTTTCCCACTCCGATTATCACGATCGCCGCTCTGTTATGCTCGTAACAGGTTAAAAAACAATGTAGCTAAAACAACTGATGCGTTATTCTCCAACCTGTTGCGAGCCTCCATCGACAATCGACCGATGCAGCAGCGTTCCTTTCCCACTCCGATTATCTCGATCGCCGCTCTGTTATGCTCGTAACATGCAATGTATGCTTCCTTGTTCCTTGTATATAAAACTGCACCGGGAATATTTTCATCACGTTCCAGAGCATAGGTCCCAAGACTAATCCCTGTGGTACACCGCTATTTACCATCACAGTTTTTTGTAACCCTCCGGCCTCTATTATGATTCTTCTCTCTGATAGGTAGGATGCTATAATATCAATTAGATATTTATCTATTTTCCTCTTTTGCAGAATTCATGCATTTTTCATGTCATTTGTAATTATTGCACAGAGTCTACGAATATAAATTATAGCCTATGTGTTATTCTGATGTATAAGCTCCATTCAGTAGTTTACAGATCCATTCAGTAGTTTTTGCGTGAAAGTGTAAAAAATCTCCATACATCCATCAATACATACAAACTTTCGCGTTTATAATATTAGTAAGGAATAACATGAAAAAATTATTACAGAAAATCGCACACGATAGAAACAAAATGTGTTAAAATCGGCTAGGGAATAACAATCGATTATAATTTTAGCGAGGTCAAGCTCTAGATGTCATTTACTTGGCCCGTACTTTTCTTTAATTTTCATGGCGCTTACTGCCAGTTGCTCTTCAGCAGGTATTGATTTATTTTTATATTTTGTAAAATCATTTTTAAATGGTTTGGTTTGGTTTGGTTATTTTTAAATGGTGTAGTTTTTAAAATAAATATTTTTAGTCGACCATACCAATAGGTATGGTAGGCTATTAAGATGGGCAATTTTTTTTTTAATTTCACTCAAAATGAGTTATTTGGGTCATAAATGACCTAAATACAAAATATTTTCATAGTGGCTGTCTGTTTGTCTGTCCGTCTGTAACACGATAACTCAAAAACCGCTAAACCGATTTTAACCAAATTTGGCACAAAAATACTGTGGCACTCGAGAATCTGGCCATTAGTTTTTGGTGGGGGTGGGGGGTTGGTAAGGGGGTATGGGAGGGGGTTAAAAATTTATAAAAATCGTAACTCCAAAATTACAGTAGCTAGCGAAACGCGGTTTTCAATTTAAGATTAGGATTAATATTTGCAACAAAATTTGTAATAACATCAAAATCAGCCAAAGTCGCAGTTTTTGAGATAAAAAAAATTGGAAAAATTCCTTCACTTTGAAACTAAAAGAACTGCGTACCAACTTTTTATTAACATATTTTAGTATGGGCGGCTATATGTGCCTCCTGGCGCCAATTTTTTGGAAATAAGACTTGTGTCTGGAAATTTTCTATCCTTTTTTTTAATCTTTCTATAATTATAGTTAATTAATTATTTTTAGTAAATGACGTCTAGAGAATGACCTCGCCAAAATTATGATCGATTGTCATTCCCCATTGTCATTGCCGTGTTTGGCGCCGTTTTTTTTTTGATCATAGGTACTTTATATTTATCTTAACACGAACAATTTGTCACGGAAAATACACAAGGGACATTCAGTTAATATTCTTTGAAAGTACTCTTTACTTATTTTAGCCATATTAATTTAGGTAGGTGTAGGTATAATCTAAGAAAATTTCCATTATCTTCAAAGGTGTGATTAAAAGCAGGCAAAACAAGTACATTGCGACTTCAATTTGCTGGCAAATTAATCTGGTTTTTATTTTATTTGA